GGCGAAACAGCTGCGCCGTACACACACAACAATAAAAGACACATGTACGCTGGACTCAGTCAAATGGTGTGCGAAAGAACTGTCGAATCGTCAAAAACATCGATACAAAAATAACATGAGAAACAAAAAATGAAACTGTGAGCACTGCACCTGCTGAGCCCGTGTCTGAAGAAATACTCAAAAAAGTGCAATCCTCTACAACATCGATGATACAAATAAAACAAGAAACAAAAACAAACTGCACCCGTGCATGGAAATAGTATACAATAGTCTAACCACCTATACAAATACAAATGCAGTCATGACGACCTGCACAGACCACTCCTACGAACACAAGGCCTCGTCTCAAGCACTACAGACTACTCCTACTAACACAACGCCTCGTCTCAAGCACTAAATATACTGTACACTACTACGGATCAGAGGATGAAAGAAGACTAATGGTGGAACTATGCATCATCGTCGTCCACAATGTCCTTCCTCCTCCTCTGCGGCACCACACCTGTCACACCATCCCCACAACCTGTGCCGCCTGCCGGCGCGTGCGTAGTATCCGGAGCATGAACCTCCCCCTGTGGCGCCGCCTCAACCTCTCCGTGTGGTCGAAGAAGATCGTACACGGAAACCCTCCTCCGCTGGACATAAGGCATCTCCAAATCGTCTTTGCCAGACTCCCAAACGACTGGCGCCTGTGACGGTCGCTGCGCTGTCGCTGCCCTCACATCCTCCTGCAATATACGTGCAGCCATGCTCCTCCCGGGGGCCGCACTGTGCTCGGGGTGGTCGCCGGTGCCCGTTGTACGCCCTGCAGTATGTGGCAACGTCGCCTCAACAGGTGCGCTCATGGGCTGATCCGTCGCTCGGTCGAAGACCCTCTCCTGCCATCCTGCTGCGTCTGCGACACCGTCCCCGCTCAAAATCGCCCGTGTCCGCGGATGTAAACTGGCCAACCCAGGCTGACTCGCCCGCATCGTCTGCGTCACTCTCCTCACGGTACTAAGACTTTTCCCTGCTCTCATCTTCTTCTTCCGTGACTGAGGAGAAGGAGACTCCCCGGCGGGTGTCGGCGAGGGGCCCCGTACCGCCTCTACCGCGATTGTGCCCTCCACATATGTGGGTGTGCTGACACCTGTGGTGGACGATGGCACTGACAAACTGCAAGGCACGTAAGTCGAGGCCTCTACCATCAGTCTCCTCAACGCCTCGGTCATCCGCCCCTGGCGATCTGCCTGCAACGGGTCCTCCCGTGCCTGCCGCTCCAACTCCCCCGCCGACATGGCCCCACCGAGAGGCAATACGCAAACACCCTGAACTGGCGACGCAGGTCTCTCGCCCGCATCCCCTATGCCCGCAGCGCCGCACTCGCCCTCTGCATCACCTGCCTCAACGCCTGTCTCGAGCATCCGCGCTACACGTGCCCTCAATGCAACACTCTGCGTCATCTCGCAGCGGCCAGCCAACCCCTGCGCCCTCCTCCTCTCCTCGCGGTCGATCATGTCCTGCTCTAACTCTGTCACCCGCTCCTGCACATGTCGACACTCCCCATCATCCCCAGTTGCACGCTCGTGCTGCCCCGACCGACCCGGTGCCCCGTCTGCTGCCTCTTGCAACATGCTACTACTGATGTCGCCCGTGCTGCATGAAGGTATGTCACGAAGTATCTGACTGACGGGTGTGGCCGCTGCGTCCACATCGACACCGACACGCTCCCCTGCCAGTGTCGGAGGATGCCCTAACGAAACATCAAAAATGTTGTCGCTGAAACTGACACCCACCTGTGCAGATGGCCTCCCAACCTCTCCCGCATCGCCACTACCACCCACAAACCCGCCTGGACCCTCCACAGATGCCACTGCGCCCTCTGCAGACGACACAACGAACTCTGCAGGGGAGGGAGCAACCTCCATAGGGGAGGGAGCAACCACAGCTGCCTCAGCGGGCCTCTCCTCATTAACCCAATGCACAGTGCGAGTGGACGACTCTCGCCTTACTTTTCCTGTGCCAGCACRCCCTGCACCACCTGTGCRCCCTGCACCCCCAACACCCTGCCCACTGCCTCCCCTGCCTGCACCACTGCATCAGTCGCCACGCTGTCTCTCGGACTTCCGCAAACCACCCACAACCCRTCCACCGTCGCYGCCCTCGTCGTCGTCGTCGTCACCATGTCYGTCCTCACTGCTGCCCTCATATCYCTCCCTATCGTCGCCATCGTCGTCGTCTTCCTCGTCGWCACGCTCGCGAGTCCCTCCCTGTCCGCGACGATCGGTYGAAGGGTGTGGCGTACAGCTCTCGACACGGTCCGTCGAGCCTGGCTCTGAGACGTCTGAAGCACTCGAAGGAGGGCGTGCTGCGGGAGACGGWRCAGCGGCCGCCRTRGACGCACGTGTGCGAGGACGCRGAATCTGGATSAAAGGAGTGTCGTCTTCATCGTCATCAGAATCTCCTGGCTTTGACTCCACGGCCAGGTCGTCCGGATCGGACCACGGCTCGTCCTCCATCGCGTCCTGAGCCATGGGATCAGGCTCGGGATCGTACACCGACTCCAACTCATGCGCCATGAGCACCGTGGCGCGACGACCAAAATACGTCGCGACGCTGGGAGGTGCCTTTGAAAGGCGATCGTTCCTCCCGCGCTGGACCTGCTGGTCGCGCTGTGCCTCGGTGACTCGGTCAGCCGACCGAACACCCACATCACGAGGCGGAGGAATAGCGTCCTCTGTCTCCTCCTCAGCGTCCTCCCATGGAAGAACGTACCCAAAACCCCTCCCCTGACAACGACTCAATCTCAAGTTGGTGGATATCTCCACCAAACGAGTCAGCTTGATGAAACCAAGCTGATTACGCCTCTTCACCTGAACATGCTCATGGGCGGCCCAATTCCTCTTTGCCGGAGAGGCGCACGTCCATGTGTGCGACAAGCGAATGGCGATGCTCTGAAGGAGAGGGACCCCGTCCTCGTGCTGAACCCACCACTGCCCCACGTGTGATGTCTCCTTCTCCCCTTTGCAAGTGGCCGCATCCCTGTCTCCCTCGGCCCCTCCATACGTCCAATCGCCCTCCCGAGAATGAAACTCCGCCAGCTACGTGCGCAACGTCTGGTACAAATCCTCGTCACCACCAGTCTGCTGGCGAAGGTATCGCAACGACTCGTCTGCCAGTATCCGCTCGTGGTCAGTACGCCTCGCCGCTCCAAAAAGAGTTATGCTCCTCTGTCGCGGATTGAGGAGGTGGGCCATGCAATGTGTGGGCTCCAACATATGAGTGACCCGCGCCTGACAAGCCTGAACAATGATGTGTAGCTCGTCCTTCGACGTCCTGTTAAGGCTTGCTCTCGCCACCTTGTCGACCATGACAAAACCCCACGACCACATGCGAGTCATCACGCGACCCCCCCTGTCTAGACGCCGTAGCAATTGCATCACAGGCATCATGAGCACCACGATGTCCTCCACGTGCTCCCARAATGGCGCGTACCGCACCTAATGACGCACCCATCTGGCCTGCAGAAAAATGAACCTCCTCCATGCAGTCCGCAGCCAATCGTCGCTCATCATCAACGCCTCCAACRCTCTGCGATGATCCAACAGCCTCTCCAGCATCAAGTAGTGGGTGGCAAACCTCGTCTGCACAGGGTACATAAGCTCCCTGCCTCGCCACTGAGACGAGGGTGGCGCAGAGCTCGAACCACCAGCCGCCGTGGAGGCGAAAGAGGGGTGGGCGGCACAGAACCATCGATAAAGGCTCAAAGCCGCCCCGTGCTCTCTGATGAAACGCACGACAGCTCGAGCCCTGATGATGGTGTCCTCCCTCTTCCCGAGGCTCCCGTCGCGCCCATCCTTCGCGATGTCTGACAACAACAAGTTGCAGACATGGACCGCACACGGAAGCCAAGTGATGCGAGTGTACTTGACTTCCTCCTGGGCTAGGAGCTTGGRCGCAGCAACATACGCAGACGCGGAATCAGTACAAATGGCGTTCACCTTGTCGACACCAAACTTGTTGAACACGTCCTTCCATCGCTCCACTACGGCCTCTGCTGTCTCCTGAACAGCACCATCCCGCTG